AGCTTCTTTATTTAGCTGGAAAATTCATTTATAAGGTCATATATTCCTAAAATCTAAACTAGGAAAAATATTTTCCCAAATCTTACTCTCCTGATGTGACAGAATTCTTTCTATTTTATGTTGCTTTGTCCCAGAAATGGATGAAGTTGAAGGTGAGGATGGAAGAGGCAGAAAGAGGAATTGTCTCAAGAATGAGACTGTTCCCTGGCCAAATGAAGTCTCTCTTTCTTATGAGCAAGTGAGAGCACTCTGACAAGTCCCACTGCTTTTCAGTGTATGACTAGGGATGTGCTGCTGTCCCAAATCTTTGATGAAGGACAGATGCCAGAACTAGGTGGACTGCCGAAGAATCATCCCCTTGAGCCACATCACTGCATTCTTCTCTCAAGCACCTGATAGCATTTACTAAGGAAAGACAATATATCCAATATTAAGGAAAAATAAAGTATTACTAAAAAGCAGCAATGGAAGCTTCTTCCTTGGGAACAGATACTTTAAAAAATCAGGACAGAAGCCAGAAGAGGGAGGCAAATATACTCAGTGGAATCCCATTTTTGAGCTTATACTCTGCATTCAGTAATGGTATAAGACCAGAAGTAGGATTCATTGTACTATTTTTTTGGAGGAGGAAGAATAGACAGGAAGGGGTGAAATCCATATTGTTGTCATGTTGAAACAATGTTTTTTCCTCCACTGGGTCTTAGGGAAGATCTGGGCAGAACCACACCTACAGGAACAGATACAAGAGAAGTATTTGCCAGCTTGTGGCTTCCAGCAGATGCTACATTGCTAGTTTTTCATCACACTTCAACCACAGTGACATTAACTGTAGATTACAGTCATTGTTTTGCAGGCATACAACACTGCAGTGGTCTGTCCTCAATTGTTAAAGTGACACAAGAAAATAATTCTCATTTTTCTTTATGTGCTAGGTATAAAACCAATACTCAGCACCATTAGCATTCACTCAAACTCATTCCCACACAGTTTGAATATCCTGCGGTACACAAACCAGGTATCAGATTTTCCAGAATGATCCATTCCCGCTCCTTGCTTTGCTTCATTTCTTACTTTCACATAAGTAATCCCTTGCTGATATGATACAAATATGATATGAACAAAAGTTGAGCCTAAGCCCTTAACTTGCTGGAAAAGAAATGCCAAATTGCTCTTTGTGATACAAAATACGTGTTGTATTCAGTAATAATTCACAAAATTAATTTAAAAACTGTTTTGTATTATAGAAATAGGGTTGTAAATTTTAAAAACTTCCTGAAAAAGAGGCCACTAACTTCACAAGTATCTCTATTTTCATTCTCTGTAATTTAAATCTGGCACAATATCCCAGCCATTGTGACCTTTTAAAAGGTAGACCTTGTTACCTCACCTGGGATTTTTGGAGAAGCTCTTAAAACATTGCTCTTTTAGGCATTAAAGATGAAATTATTTAAAACCCTGGAGGGAACAAGGTACTGTTTGCACGTCTGAATGGATTTTTTAAATAGAACAAGGCAGATATTTTAGAGGTGCGTAGAGTGATGGGGCAAAACCAAAATAATTAACTGGGCTGAATCCACAAAGCAGTGGCTCATACCTTAACCCATCAAAGTATCTGACACATACTTATAACCTCAAGGGCTTAAACTATTCCTCTGAAGTTAATGGAAGTGCTATGTTGGATCACAGGCAGGTTTCTTCAGCTTCTTCTGTGATTATGCCCTTACACACCATCAATGAATTTCTCCCTAAGCATGAAGGCCACAACTGCATCAGAATGGCATGGGTGTGGTAGGCAGGGGAAAAAAATAACAGATAGAATGGATTTACTACACAAATGCCCCCTCTTCCAGAAAGATGTACATAAACCCAGTAAAGGCTACTGCAAAATTGCGTGTGGTGACAAAGGAGCATTTAGACCTTTCTGAAAACATCAAATGAAGCCCATCAATGAGCATTTGTATAGGTGTATAAGGATCTGACTTCCAAGGAATAAATATAGTAAATAGGAGTACACAGAAGTGTATCATTGCTTAGGGGTAGGTCCATAAACTTGTTTCTGGAGAAAAAAAGAGGAAGAGATGGGTCAAGTGTCAAAAGATAAAACATCTTCAATGGACAGAGTCATGCTCACGCATGGCTGAGATTGCTTTGCACTGAGGACTCAAAGAAATATCTGTTAACACACATAAGACTTCTTGGAACTAGTAATATATAGAAATATAGAAATTTTCAACTTTAGAGAAAGCTATGAAAAAATCATTCAACTTCTGTCTTGGCATTAATATTATTGAAATCATATATCTTAATTAAGATATATATAACAATGCATTCTACATTCTACAAAACACTATTTAGTGCACAGTCTGGGGTGCCCAGTGTTGTACTTCTACAGTGTCCAGACTATGAACAAATCCAGCTCTCATAACTTCATTGGCTTTCACTGTGTCAGATCAGGAATGAGTTTGGTCCCTGTGTTTACAGATGAAGAGAATGCATTGAAAACTTGGCTTAATCGAGCTACATCAAAAGCATATGACAAATAAGGGCAGAGCTATTTTAGGTAGAAATTATACTATCAGAAAAAAACACAGGCCAGTAAATAAGCATTTGCTTTACAAAAGGGAAAAAGGCATCGAGAGAAAGTATCTTTAAAGAGAAGGAAGATAGCTGGGAAAACATGTCAATACTGTAAGAACCCAATCCTAAAGCAGCCAGTCTCAAAGTAAATAAAAGAAGATGCACTCTGAAATCAAACCTTCAGATTTACTGAATTTGACCTTCGTACTTCAAAAGTTATCTTGTAGAATATGTCTTTTTCTTTCAAGTCTTCTTCAAATCAGTAGTATTGCAGCATGTGGTATGCGACTGGTATTAAAATACAGTAACTAAGTACTTTAAGCAGTAAGCCAAATAAAGTGGCATTAGCTCTATTAATAGACAATCTCCCTCCTCTTACACTACTTATTTTAAATAGAGCATATGTTTCTAAAGGTGCCTGACACCATACCTCTAAAGACTGATTTTTCCTGCCTTATTCATGGAATAAGAATATCACTTAGCAAGGCAGAGGGAAGATTTCTGAGGTCATTAACATCTCTAAATAGCAAAAGGTTCAAAACCATGTCACAATATATTAAAAAGAGAGAGATGTCTGAATAGGAAAATCTGTATGTCATATAAAGTGCAAGAAAAACGGGTAAGACCGGACTTTCAAAGAAAGCTACATAACGCTGCCTCCTCACACTTGCTATTTTATTTCTATACTTAAACCACCAGACTTTCAAGGGCAAAGAGTACCTTTTACTATCACTGACTGAACTGAATTTATAAACATTTCTGAATTTCCACAGAAATAGACACTGTCTAACAGTACATTTGGGGCTAAGCAGGCACCCAAGTTTTTTAACATGCTTGCCCAAATGACCAGAGAAAACTATTAAGTCCAACAGGAAATACAATTATAAAAAGATTTCTTCAAAGGAAGAAATCTCAAAGTTTGGAAATTCAAGTAGGTAGGACTCTGAATGACATGAATTGTTATCAATATTGAGTAATACAATCACTTCCTATTTCTAAATACACTGAGTTTTCTTTTTACGTTGTTATATTCCAGAGGGCTAAAAAGATACAATAATTCAAATATATTTTAACTATTGATTGTCAGAAAACAGCGTTAAAAGCCTGATCTAAAGGATAATTCTAAGGGAATTAATAGTTTGATCAAAGCCACTTAGTTATCACCTATGTACTTGGAAAGGTTTGGATCAGGCTGTCCATGGCACTTTTTAGGTGACTGAAATGCTCTTGCCAAAGCATTTTACTTAAGTAATTATAGCTATTGCCACTGAAAAATAATATTCCTATTGGCAAAATTGTCATTGTTTCTTATTTCTTTTTCCCTTTTTTTTTTAAACCTTCTCCATCCTTTTTCAATCTGGTTATACAGTTTGCATTTATAAAAGAAGAAATTATTCAAGTAAAATTGCAGTAATTTGTTTCAAAATAATCTGTTGTCAAACCACTAAAATTAGGCCAGAAATTTTTTTTTTTAAAAAGGTAAAAACATACCTTAAGGAGAAAACCAAGACTTTTGTAGCAATAGGCTTTCCTTTTCTTCTTCTAAAATTACCTTAAAATCAGCATCCCTCATGCTTACTTCTCATCTTCTGTGAATATTCCTTAAAATCTCCAGAGCCTTAGGAAACTTTTACAGCAAAATCCAAACCAGCTGTTATTAGGTAAAACTTTTGACATTCTAGTTCTCTCCAGATACCAGAGGCAAAAATTCCCCCAAAATCAGACTAATAATAAACGTAGAGGAGGGAAGGGAGCAGTGTGGGACGGGCAGGAAATTTGGTAGATGCTTTGCCTGAAACCAGAAACTTTGCTGTAGCACTATTACACTCTCCTGCAGGCAGTGAATATCTTTTGGGTTGGTTTGGGTTTTTTTCAGACTTTTCAGCATTCTTAAGTGGAATTCAACTTGCGAGGAAAAAAACTTCCCTTGCAAATTCCACCTGTAGGTTAAATGTAAAGCTTTTAGGATTAGAGCTTTCGTTACAGAACTCTCAACACTAGCTGTCTCACAGGTGAAGTACTGAAGCTAGGACAAAACATATTACTTTCATCCATGTTCCTGACCATCAAAAGCCCTAAGCTAGAACGTAGGCAGGAGGGAATTCTCTATTTTCCTCCATAGGAGCCAAAAGGAGAAAGTCACCACTAGCAAACTTATTTTACAGGTTTTCATCCTGCTAGCCAAGCTCTGAATGATATCTTGACAAAAATTTTTACCTTGTGGTTGCATTTTGTTTTGTAAGTGATACATACAAAATTATTAATGTAAAAGAAGAAAAAAGCAGCTCCAGAAAAGTCTGTCACATTGAGCTAAAAAGATGTCTTTAAGTATTTTCTTCCATTAAGGAACATTTTTATATTTAGAAACAGGCTAATTACAATTACATGCGCCATTTTGTAGAACACAGATGGCAAAATCTTACCTCCTTCTTGGTAAATTCTGGTGGATGGTCATTTTTGTCATCAATAAGAATAGTGGCAGTTGCTGTGCCAGTTAGTCCCACATCAAGACCACCCATATCCTTAGCTTCTATAACTAGCTCGTATTTCGGGGTTTCCATAGTCTGAAAAAATAACAGAAAAGGAAAAGTTAAAACCCCCCCCACAACAGCTTACATACTCTTTTTAATTAACATTAAAATAATAAATAAAAAAATCTAAAACTTAATTTGGCCTGATAAAACATAGCATAGAAATGGATCTATTACCACAGTCTTTTACCAAGACAGCATGGCTTTCTATGAGCTTCAGCTGCTACCATGGAAACCTTATTTGGAATACAGTATGAACGAATACAGGTGAATATGGGTAAACAGTACATAATTTATCCTGTTATTTAGGGAGATTAGGAAAGAAATTAAAATATACCTGCTTTTTAAGAGTAAGCTCTCACTTCAGCACACAAATATTTAGCAGCTTGCTTCATCAGTGTTATGATGGGTACATAAGTAAATACTATTGTCACAATCTACATATAAATTAACTTTATTTTATTAAATCGTATTCATTCCGTGTATTAACATTTAGAATAGTAAGCTAAGTTTGCTTCACTGTAAGAAAAAAGAAAGCAGTTTCCAAAATGGCAATGACTGCCAGTTATCGTACAAAGCAAATGCGTACAGTAACATTAATAATTTACATCTATAATATCCGATTCCTACGTCACAGCTACTTATCTGACTGCCTACCTACTCTAGAACCAGACAGCATAGGTCCATAGCAAAAGCAATCCTTAATTTCCCTCCCCTGAAAGACAGCCATAACTTGGAAAAAAAAATTTGTGGCCAATGGGAATGTTACAGCGTTTCTAATTCACTTCTCTCGCATCAGGCATGAAAGCACATCTGTTTGTAAGCTGGACAACAGGGGAGCAATACATCCCATCGAGGGGAGCTATTATCAGCATCAGAACCTGCTCCCATGGAACTCGTAGATAATTTTGACATGGATTTCACTGGAGACAAGACTGGGCACCTAATTAAAATGAATATTTTCCCCATTTGTATGGCTGCCTTATATGGAACCATCTGCCCGAAGACTATATGTGCTGCATTATCAATGGAGGACACAGATGGGAAAGTGCTGCAGTCACCTTTAAAACTATATGGTAAGAATATCACGTGTGCTCAGGAATGTTTTTTCAAACCTTCTTTGAAAAATAAGTCTGGATCTCAGGGGCAAAGCAACATAACAATGCCTGAAAGGGTGGCTAAGGCACCACTGCTAGAGGGCTTTTTTAACCTCAGACCAGCTCTATCAGCCAACTGTGTTTACAAGAATCAAGGCTACACATCTTTGACATCACTCATCCTATGACCTTCATCTAACACTTTTCCAGAGAATTAACATGCAGGGAGACAACTGGTGTGAAACTCTGTATAGCAACACAGCGATCTCTATCTACTACCCATACACTGCCTCACAAAGCAGAATCGAAGCTGAAGAAGGGCTTATCCTACAGCAGAGAACATAGAATCATAGAATAGTTTGGGTTGGAAGGGACCTCTAAAGGTCATCTAGTCCAACCCCACTGCCGTGGACAGGGACATCTTCAACTAGATCAGGTTGCTCAGAGCCCCGTCCAACCCGACCTTGAATGTTTCCAGGGATGGGGCATCCACCAGCTCTCTGGGCAACCTGGGCCAGTGCTTCACCACCCTCAGTGTAAAAAATTTCTTCCTTAGATCTAGTTTGAATCTACGCCCCTTTAGTTTAAAGCCATCCCCCCTTGTCCTGTCACAACAGGCCCTGCCAAAAAGTTTGCCGCCAGCTTTTTTATAAGCCCCCTTTAAGTACTGAGAGGCTGCAATAAGGTCTCCCCGAAGCCTTCTCTTCTCTAGGCTGAACAACCCCAACCCTCTCAGCCTTTCTTCACAGGAGAGGTGTTCCATCCCCCTGATCATTTTCCTGGCCCTCCTCTAGACCCGCTCTGACAGGTCCGTGTCTTTCCTGTGCTGAGGGCTCCAGAGCTGGACGCAGGACTCCAGGTGGGGTCTCAGCAGAGCAGAGTAGAGGGGCAGAATCACCTCCCTCGACCTGCTGGCCACGCTGCTTTTGATGCAGCCCAGGATACGATTGGCCGCCTGGGCTGTAAGTGCACATTGCTGGCTCATGTCCAGCTTTTCATCCACCAGTACCCCCAAGTCCTTCTCTGCAGGCTGCTCCCAATACATTCATCCACCAGCCTGTATCTTGCCATTTAAAATTTTAAAAGACTTATTTCTCACCTCTAGCTTAGCAAAGCAACCTCTCGGGCCACACAACCTTCTCTGTAGCTAAGGGATTTGAAAGCATTCACTAAATAGTGCATTTTGCATTATGCATTTTCCTGGGTACATCACACCACCTTTCTTGGAGCATGTGTAAGAAGGAGATCCCAATTCCTTAGTACTTAAATCTTGAGGCATTTTTAGGCCATAAGAGAAGCAACCATATCAGTTGCTCATCAGATCAGCTATTATGAAGCAATATATTTGCATGTAAAATCAATGAGTCAAGCCAGAAGATATATTTAGTTCTAAAAACATATGGACTACTAGAAAATCAGATGCCACTGCCACTTAGGGGATCCTAAGAAATGTATTTCCTTAAGTCTTACAACATTATTGCATGAAATTCATCTCAGAAGGCAGCAAACCCAGTACAGGATTTTGATTTATAACATCATATAAATATACGCAAAGAAATATTACTGACGTGTCACCAACACAAATTCAGATTACAGAGTGGAACAAAATTTACAGTTTTCATATATTTATTTTCTAAAATGTTTTCAATGTATTAAAACCTGAACAGAGCTTCTCTCCCCTCTCCTAGATGCAACTTTTTCATTATTTTGATTAGGAAGTTGTTATTATTGTATGGAAAACTTGCAAAGCCATTTATCACTTCATGTTTATAAGACTCTCTGCTCTGAAAGAGGACCATTTTTACTCACAAACTGGCCTTTTTTCCTTTGAAAACTGTCCCATTTTCTATTGAAAGCGAGCCCATTTATGCTAGAAATTGTGTCTACTGCAGCAGAAATTTCTGTGACAGGAGTCCAATGTTTAAGCTCGCAACGGAATGTGAAAAACATTGAATTTTGAGTAGTATTTCATATCATTATGAATACTTCACACTTTCCTGCTATGCAGCACTTTCTACATCTAGTTCTGTCACCAAATATTTGCTTTGTTAGAGAAAGCAACTCCTAACAGATCCAAATACGAGAGCAGAGGCATGTTCCCATCAGATGCTCTCTTTACACTAGGAGATTGCACGTAAAGGACTTTTTAGCATTTCTCATACTTCTAGTCCAGTTAATTCAGGCACTAGTAGCAGTTATTTGGATCTGCGTGTTTTCTCACACTACTGGTAAATCCTGGGACATGGGAGTGGGGATCTGTGGACAGAGCATGGGTCCCTGTGCTCTCACCAACCCCGTTCCTCAGCTGACGACACTGCAGAGGGCCAGGGTCTGTGCTGGGGGCATCCCCCAGGGTAGGGGCTGCAGTGCAAGCTGTCATGGCAACTCCTCGTCTTTTCCCTCTTCACAGGGCTCAGGCCTTTTACCCCAGTGAGGTCTCTCCCTGCACTTGCTCCCGTCTTGTGAGAAATGAGTGCTCCTGGAGGGGGGCAGTGGAGGAGAAAAGCAGCCTTCCTTGACTTTCTCCATCCCTGCTACACTGTCCAGGTTAGGGATAAATGCAGCACCCACTATTGGTAGCATTTTGGCACCCCACAGTCACTCAGACTGTTGTACCACCATGACATTGCCTGTCCCTAAACCCAGGCCCCCTGCTTCTCGAAGCAGTGGCCTAGCCCTGAAGCACTCTTTCAAAAACAATCCAATTAATACCACTTGGATAGTGAGATGTTAGCAATATAAATATGTAACAACTCTCAACAAAGTGGATCTACAGCAAAAAAGGATAATAGCTTATTTTAATAAATGAACATTAAGTCGCTGTTTGTGTGGCTTATTATTTATCAACTGTGACTTTGTGGAGTGTATCACTGTTGAGAGGGTTTGTATAATTACAGCAGAAGAACCATTCCTTTCCCCATAAATTTGCACTCTAGTCATTTAGCCACGGCAGGGGTGACACTGGCAAATTGTTTCGTTTGCCAAGGAGGTGAGCTGTGTCTTGAGTGTTTTTCTTTGAAGGTACACCCACTGCCATTCTCACCAGTGTTAACATTCCTATCAGATTGCACTCCCCTGCCGCCTTGACATAACTGGTTCAGCACTGGTAAGCAACCAGAGGCCAGAAAGGCACTTTTTCAGATTTCAGATTCCTGACAAAGCCAGCAGGATCTAATTACAAGAGGGAAATAAACAGTTCAGTGCAGATTCACACAGGTGGAACAAACCAAGCGATTACTTTTAGGTAGTGATGAATGAAACCAGACAATGATGGTTTTCTGCTGAGTCTTAATCTTTTAATATTTCCTACAGATACAATAAGAAACTATCAGTGACTTAAGAAAAGCAAGCCATGGCTAGTATTTCACACCACCAGCAGTAACAGTCCAAGTCTTGGTATGGGCTATCACTCGCAGGCTGTAAAGGCATTCATGTGCCTTTTAAATTCAGGTGGAATTGACAGCATCTTCAGTACAGTAGGACTCAAAATGTAAGATGGAAACAAGTGGAACTACTTGCATGATTACAAGAAAGGTTTAGAACCCTTAGGTGACCACTGGTGTTTTCAAACATGTCCAAGTCCTGAATTTCCATTGTGCTGGTTTTGGCTGGGGTAGAGTTAATTTTCTTCCCAGTAGCTAGTATGGGGCTGTGTTTTGGATTTCTGCTGGAAACAGTGCTGATAACACAGGGACGTTTTAGTTACTGCTGAGCAGCGCTGACACAGGGTCAAGGCCTTTTCTGCTTCTCACCCCACCCCACCAGCGAGCAGGCTGGGGGGGCACAAGGAGTTGGGAGGGGACACAGCCGGGACAGCTGACCCCAACTGACCCAAGGGATATCCCACACCATGTGACGTCATGCTCAGCATATAAAGCTGGGGGAAGAAGAAGGAAGGGGGGGACGTTGGAAGTGATGGCGTTTGTCTTCCCAAGT